CTTCGACAACAAGCACACCAACTACACCATGGAGGTACTCTGCTGCAGCTTTGGCGTTCAGCCGACCCTCCACCCTCCACCTCTTGTTTCTCTGCTCCAATCGTATTTTCTCTGCTTCTGTTCCTCCATGGCTGCAGCATGTGCGCGTGGGCTGGGAGCAGCTGCTCACCACCATCGCCAGAACCATCAATGAGGTGGAGAACCAGATCCTGACCCGCGACGCCAAGGGCATCAGCCAGGAGCAGCTCAATGAGTTCAGGGCCTCCTTCAACCACTTCGACAGGGTGAGGCGTTCACTGACCTTGAAAAGGAATCTCCCACAATGTGGATGTTGGATTATATTGGGATTATTCAGTCATGACAAACAGAGAAATCCATAATAAACAACACAAACCACAATGTAGAGCTTATATCTTTATTTTTGAACTTAAAAATCAGTTTGACAGATAATTGTGAATTTTTTTTGTCCTAAAATGTAGCATTAATGCTCAATATTAAGTAAGAAATTAAAAATGGGCATTTTTACGAGCTGTTCCAGTGATAAAAAATACAAATGTGTTTGTCCTTTGCAGAAGAGAAACGGCATGATGGATCCAGACGACTTCCGTGCCTGCCTCATCTCCATGGGTTACGATCTGGTTAGTACAACACGACTCGTGGCTTCTCCTTAGTTTCATTTTGTTCAGGAAGTTTAAAACAAATTGAAATCTGACAGTACATAGGTTTCATTTTTATCTGGTGTTTCGCTACTAACTGATACGATCCTCGTCTCTGTGACAGGGTGAGGTGGAGTTTGCTCGCATCATGACTCTGGTGGACCCCAACAACACAGGCGTGGTGACCTTCCAGGCCTTCATCGACTTCATGACCCGCGAGACCGCCGAGACTGACACTGCAGAACAGGTCATGGCCTCCTTCAAGATCCTGGCTTCAGACAAGGTAAGCAGACACACACAGCGTCCTGTTAGCTTTACACCAACACAGTAGTTACAGTTTTGAATGAGACAGTACGAGAGGTAAACATGATCAAGTTTAGAGGTCAAATCTGATAATGCTCAAAGGTTCATTACAACTACTCTTACTTATATAGTTTTGGTCATCATTACTGTCTGTTAATATCGTACCCACCCAACTGCTAATATCTGGGAACACTGACATCACTACAGCAAAGTCCTGCAGTCACCTGATGTCTTGGCAATGGAAACAAATAATTTGTTTAGTTTCTAATAGTCTTCTGAGGTGTAGAAGACATCAAACAGTGAATAAAATAATCTTTACCTCACTAAATTCTGGATTCTAATTGTGCAAACTGCACCAGTTTATTAAAAGTTATGTTTTTAAACCAGTGTGTAAATGGAAAGCCTGGAACAGCAAATTAGCTGTGCAGCTTAGGTTGCCATGGTGATTTCCACCAGTTAAAAGTGAGCCAGCTTTGTAATTCTGTAAAACCTGAATTAAGGTTAAACATAGCTTGCTAACTCATTGATCTCACTTTGTGGTACAGGTGCCTGGTTTCCTGAATGTCAGTGTTCCCAGATCTTAGCAATACCCAGAGAGTGAGGTGTTTTGAAGAGACAATAATGATTAATTGTTGAGAATATTTTTGACCGGTTAAGCATTATCGGTCTGCGCTTAATTTTGCTGCATTGCACACCACCCAGGTCTGGTGGGTGACAGACATCTGGCCAGCCACTTGAACATTTGGAAACCTAGTGCCCGCCCTGCGTTCTTCACTGGTTAGCCAGCTCTGCACTGCGTACTAGTCAGGTGGGAGCTAGCTAGCAGCGCCACTTAGTTGGCGATTACCGCTAGTAACACCATCCCACACCAAAAATGTTGCTGTGGAAACATTGTGCCCTCCCTCTGGTCTCCCCAATGAAACATCCCTTTAGCATGGTTAACAATGTTAGCTCTGCTTCCACGGCTTGTGGTGCTAACATAACAATGCAAAAAGGGGTTTTGTGGCTCACAATGAAGCTGCTTACTCACCAGGGCAACCTGGGGGGAAACCAGAGGGTCACCACCATGTTTCCACAGTAATATCATCCTGCCACTGGGACAGTGTTACCAATGGTAATCGGGAACAAGCGGCACCGCAGGCTAGCTCCCACGGCTAGCGTTAGCTAACCAGATGAGAGCGAAGGGGCAGTGGGCATTATGTGTCCACGTTAACGCTAGCCATCTGTCCATCAGCAAATCAACAGAAAATATAATAAGTAAAGACATTTACATAAATATACAGCACTTTGAAATGTGGCGCTAAAGCTCACTGAGTCAACATAGCACCAGATTAGTTACGGTTAATGTCGAGCTATCAAAAGCAAAATTTACTGAAACTACCATCTCTTAAAGGGATAGTTCAGAGATTTTGAAGTGGGGTTGTTTAAGGTACTAACCCATAGTCAGTGTATCACCTACAGTAGAAGGCGGCTGGCACGCCTCCTGCTTGGAGAAGCAGAAGGAGCACTGACACACTTAGTTTAAGTGTACACTACATGGAGAATATTTTAACTGCTTTACTGTGCCGTCGGGCAGCGATTTCCATCAGGGAAGCCATTACAGCACTCTCTTCAAAGCCAGACTACATTGAGAAGAATACAGAATTTTTAGTTTGTTGAAATAGGTTTTGTTGCTGCCCCCGTCCAAAGCAGTACATTGTGTAGCTTCCCTGTTGGTCACTACTGGGGGCGTACCAACCGCAATCTACTGTAGACAATACACTGACTGTGCTTCAGTACCTAAAACAACCCCACTTGTAAAGATTGTAACTATCCCTTTAACATTGGTAATAACCCTGTTATAACACTGTATCACCAATAGTAATCTTGGATAATAATGCCAGAGAATGAAACATTTGTCAGTCAACAGTTAAACCTTCAGCACTTTATCTTTGCCTGTATAAATCACACCCGCCTCCTTCTCTCCTCCAGAACTACATCACAGTGGAGGAGCTGCGCAGAGAGCTGCCGCCTGAGCAGGCCGAGTACTGTATCAGCCGCATGACCAGGTACATTGGAGCTGACTGCCCCTCCGGCGCCCTGGACTACATCTCCTTCTCCAGCGCCCTCTACGGAGAGAGCGACTTATAAACACAGTCGCGTCTTCTCTTCACCTCCTCCTATCCCTTCTTCCCAGCTCCTACTATTTCTCCTATGTGGAGAGAGCAATTTAAACCCCTTCCACTGCCCTGATCATTTCCCCTTCTCCCCAACCCTCCCTCCCTCCCTTCATGCCCAAACCCACTGCCCAGAGAGGGGGAGAGTAGAAGGCTTTGCTCAAACCTTAGAGGCTGTGTTTGTCCCTCATCAGAGTGCTTTGAAAAACCAGGAACGTGCTGGGTATTGCACTGAACTTATGTAAGCAGCATACATATAACATACCTGCCTTAAGGAGACTTAACACAGGGAGGTAATGAGGGAGAGTTGGTTAGAAAGTTATTGAGCAAAGCCTCCTGCTCTCCCACTCTCTCAGATGACATATTTTTTTGTAGAAGGGTAATTAAAGAACGTGATAAAAAAAAAAAAAAAAGCTGGTTGGTCAGTTGGCTTGGTTGGTTGTGTATTTGTGCAGATGCATGCTATGTTGAAGTTTAGAAATGCTGTCTTTGAGTCTCTGACTCTCCTTAACCACAGAAACATGTCGGTCAGCAGAGGAGAGAAGCAGGTCAGGTGCTACGATACGTTACAAAGCCAGTCTGACAATAAAAACCACAGCACTGTGAAGCCTGAATGTTAGCAACACAAACATCTTAAAGCCTTAAGCTCAGGAACTGACAGAGGGTGAACGGGAGCGCCTACACTTTAAAGCACTGGATATTAAGATGCAGACAGAGAGCAAAGCACTGTGGGTAAATACAGATAAAGAAAGGGAGCGCCATGGCTGGATGGGGACTTAAGAATGAAGACAGAAAGACCGATCCCACACGTCTCTCCAAATTTAAAATCACATCTAAAGATATGAAGGTGATTTTTCTTTACATGACAGAGGGGCGACGTCAGGGCATCAGGAGAGGACAAGCTAACAAGAACAATACTGTATGTGGGACCACAGCAGGCCTATGGCAGTGACGAAGCAAATAGGGTTTTGGTCCCACTGACAGGTCGGCCATGATTATCAGTGTGAGTCAATGCCTACGTGTGCATGATTTTGATTTCACCTGTGCTCCATTCTGCTCCTCAACTCATTCTGTCCATCATCATCGATGACACAAAACTCACTCTCACAGTTAAATTTAAAAAAAAAAAAAACTCAACTTGGAATAAAAAAGGAAAATTATATTACTAAACAGCAGTTGTGTTGTTCTTTTCTTGCTACACTGATACGAGACAAACATTAAGGGCTGTTCCAAATACCAGATTTTGGACATTGAAGCTTCAGTGAGAAATATTTGGTTAATCAAAGCTTCAACAGCTGTGGGCAGGGATTATTAAGAGACGAGGACTTCAGTAGATAAACCTCAAATTGCTAAGCCCCGCCCCTTTGTGATGGTCCGACAAGCTATCAGAGTAGAGGGGTCTACAGTGTGTGTTTGAAGGATATATCCAGGATGTCAAACTGACTCAGCAGCAACAACAGGTTAAAAGACAAAGATAGTTAGAAGCTAAAGATCACAGTGTAAAAGTGAACCACCACATCACTGCTGATCGACACACAAGACAATGAATATAAAGGGAAACTTTGCTGATATTGAACCAGCTGTGTGGCATCGCAGTATGTGCAGATGAACGGTGTCCGTCCAGCGATGACACACAGCTGGTTGAATATGAGCAAAGTTTCCCTGCTTCCCTTCACTGGTTCCTGTACAGCAGGGTCGGTCTTTGTTTCACTGTTATAATCATTACAAAGCAAAAGCAGCATGTGTATACATTCAGTAGGCTATATCTTCAGTAGCTAGCTAGCTAACCCTACACTTTTCAGGGTCTGATTTTGCTTTTGGAACAGGGAAGAAACGTATATCTTCTTCCGACCTCTCCAGGTAACGAGTGTCATTAATACACGACGTGCCCCAGGCACAACATTTAGCTCCAAATCCACAAAACCAGCCTGAAAATGAAGGACATCTGAAACGATTACATTACAGTCAATGGAGCACAACTGTGTTGATGTTGGACCCTGGTCTGAGCCGGCCGATGCTACGCTATGATTGCTATGGATTAATGAGCTTGTTATTTGTGTTTACTGCTGATTCTTTTAGTTTTTCTCCCCACTACAAAACACCTTAGTCCTCACAGAAACTATAACAGATTCAAGATTTTTGTATGGATTATGAAACTGACTGACCTTTAACCTCCACAGCGAGGTCACATTTGGGGGTTGTTGTCAGGGTCCCAGCAGAGGTGGGTCGGGAAGTCCAGGCCCCTCTCCTGAGCATAGCGTATCCAGCGCTCCTCGTCCCCTTGGTCCGTCAGATACCTGCAGCCCATCCTCTGCTCGAACTCTCTGAGGTCACACCACAGCTGGAAGTCCTGCAGGAGGAAGAGGAGGAACAGGGTCAGGGAGGGGACATGATGGAAATGTAGCTTCAGTTTGATTAAACCGAATCAGCTGGTTCCCACATTTTCTTTTTCATCAAGGTGAATCTGAACTAACATGTCAAAATATTGATTCTATAACAAAACCTGCAAGTTAAACTCTAACAACAAATCATTTACTGCCTTAAAAGTGACAGCAGATGAAGTATTTTCAAGGACAACAAAGCTGCATTAGTATTAACTGTGGTTAAAATATAACCAGCGATGACTGATGTCCAGTTGAGTGAACAGATGAATAATTGCAATGTCCTCCCAACATAAGGTATGGACAGCCCTCGATACTGTTTTATTCGTTGCCGTGGAAACGTTCAACTATTGCTGCCGTCATATTCACATGTATGTCATATAAGTTGATTAACAGTGCCGAAAACTCATCTACAGCCTGGACTTAAACATATCTCTGTATCATGATGTGGCTGAATATTATTTCATTCACATTTTAACAGACCTAACTATCAATAACTATTTTACACATTCATACGTTTATTTGTTTTTTGGCAGTTGAAAAACCCACAACATCACGTCCTTATTGCAATGAATTGTGGGTTATTAAATTGGTGAAGGAAGTCCGCTTGAGGCCCCTTGTGGACTAGATGAATTGTGGATTTGGAGCCCTCAGCACTCCGTCACATCTGTGCGGACATCTGGATTCAGCCTTATATGCAACCATAGTATGGAAACATGTTACATTCAGTGAAAATGACCTAAAATCTAAGAAGCTTCACACAGTATAGTCTAGACTTTTGTCTGTATCGTGTACACGTGTATATTTTTGAGCCAGTAATCTACTTATTACTTCACTACATTTGCCTTTTATACCGTCGTTACATTTAGTCTGCTCTAAATGTGAGGACAGAGTGTAGAGGGAAGGAGCGCAGGAGGAGACGCCAAGCTGCTTCTTTTGATACTGCTGCCATGGTGAAACCCAGGACAAGAGGCAGCTTCAAGCAACAATCCCTGGCTACACTTTATACACCAAAACCTAAAAGATCTAACAGTTACAGGATGTGGTGCTCACTGTGCCTCCTGAAAAACACACTGCTCTCCCAGCCTCCGCAGACACACTGAAGTAAGGTGCACGTAGTGTAGGTGAAAGTTAGCTCACTAAAATTAACTACTGGTTAGTTTTATGGTAATTGTACTTTTATTTAAGTACTGACTTCCAGTACTTTACAGACACAATATTCCAATTATAACTGAACATCTGTGGGATGGAAAACTGTGCACATCAGACTATGAACAAGTGTAATATTTATTCATGTCTCACCTGCAGCCAGGGGTGTCCCAGAGTTTTGCCCACGCTGAACCTGCGTCTGACCGACACCTGCAGCAGGTTATTGATGAGACTCATGGCTGCAGAGGAAAAGAGACAGACAGGATTCACTCAAACGGTCTTAAAAGTTGTCCACTGGTGCCACCCAGTGGACAACAGGAGAAAATACAGGTCCACTGTTTGAGTAATGCTGGAATAAAAGGATTTTTTGGTGACTTTAAAGACACTTAGAGGGGAAATTAAATCAAAATAAATGTTCAGGGGTTAAAAAATGTCAAATGTTAAAATGTGGAAAGCAGAGAGAGCTTACATGAGGTACGAACAGTGAACGTTTAGTCATTTATTTGATTTATATTTTGTATTTCTGTATCACAGTAACAGTTTCCAGCAGGTCACATCTTTAGCTGTCTTGGTGATGCATTCAAGGACACTCTGACATCTGAACTCTGACAAATAAGCTTCGAGTTCATGAGCTCTGCTGTCAGAAAATCAAACCTAACTTATTTCTCGCAGTAACTAAGTTGTAAGTTGACTCTCATGTCCGCGTCCTCAAAAGCATCGACAGGAAACGTTCTCATAAAAAGAAAAAATAACTCTTCTCTACCCTCCAGGGAGATGGAGGCCCACGGTTGTCGGGGGTACATGAAGGCGGCGTTGGTGATCTGCTGCTTGATGTCCTCGTCCTCATTGAAGGGGAACGTGCCACTCAGGCTCACGTACATGATGACGCCCACGGACCACATGTCCAAGGAGCGGTTGTAGCCACTGCTGCTGATCACCTCGGGCGCCAGGTAGGCCGGCGTGCCCACGACAGAGCGGCGGAAAGACTTCTCGCCGATGATGCGGGCGAAGCCGAAGTCGCACAGCTTCACCTTTGACACAGAGAGGGTTTAAGGTCACGTTAAGACATCATGTCCTGAAACACGTCGTATATAACACCCACCCACCTGAGGGAAGGGGTCGGCAGAGGCCAGCAGGACGTTCTCAGGTTTCAGGTCACAGTGAGCGATGTGTTTGAAGTGCAGATAGCGCAGAGCCTCCAGGATCTGCAGCACACACACACACACACACACACAGGGAAAAAACATGAGACTGTGAGTCATCGTTTAATATACATAATGTTTATGCTTTATCTCTGCAGGAGGTCACAAACACATTCCCAGTTTTACGCTGAGGGACGGACGACGGTCTGGAGTAAAACGACTTGTTGTCTACTAGTGTAGGCTTTTTATTTGTTTTTGGTGTTACTGTGCTCGAGCTTATTATAACACTGTATTTCCAAAGCTCTTCTGTCACTGAGCAGAAGATCAGCTCCACTCAAGAGTGATATCCCCTTTCAGGTGGTTTAATTTGAATACAGAAGTCAGGAAAAAACATCACTAGACGTATTTCTTTCATGCTCTTTTCATCGTAACCACCTCATGACCTTTTGTGGCCTCGAGGTTGTGAACTGCTGTTCTGAAAGAGAACATAAATCTAGCATCAGTTTAACGATGTGAAAGTGGTCCGACCTGCATGACCAGGAAGCGGGTGTTGCGTTCAGGGAGTCGGCCTCTCTCGCTGGACAGAATCATCTCCAGCATGTCTCCATGGAGCTTCTCCATGACGACAAACACGTGCTCCACTGTCTCGAACATGCCCTCCAACAGAACCACGCCGAGGTGGGACAGATTCTGGACAGCACACACACACACACACACACACACACACATTAGCAGCTACAGAAGATATTCTCACAGTGAAGACAGAGCTGAAACTTGTATCAGTACCTGCAGGATGGCCACCTCATTCCTCAGCTGTCTCTCCTGTTTGGTGGGAAAGCGCGTCTTGTCGATGACTTTGATGGCGACTGGCCGACCTGACTTCCTGTGAGTACCTGAGGAATGACAACAAGTCACTTCTATCAACTCTTTGTCTTCATTTTATACTCATTTAAACTCACAAGATAATCTAACAACGTGGTTAAAAGCAGCTCACCTCTGTACACCACTCCAAACTGTCCTGAGCCCAGCACCTCGTCTGTGAAGATCTGATACACCGAGCTGATGTCCTGACACACACACACACACACACACACACACTTTAACACTGTACAACACACTGATGTATGAAGTATTAAATATAAATTCAGAGGTAGACAGGTTGATGCTCACCACGCTGTCTCTGCATGAATCTCCCTCTGTAATCACAACGTTCACACACAAACAATCGTTTTAATGAACACTTATTGTCCGACAAAATGTTCAGAAATATTCTCTGATTCATGTTCGGAGGTTGTGTGACTCAGACTTCATATTAATAAGCATTTTAGTTTCATAACGCTGATAATTCTCACTCATTCTCACTTATGTTATTAAAAACAAATCTAAATTCATCAGGATTCTTCATGTTGCGACGCCCACGTTAAGTTTGTGTAACAAGTTATTAATGGAACAAAAACAGCTCGTCACACTCGCTTACATAAAACCTAAAAAGCTTTGTTGTCTCATTAATATCTAATAACGTCAGAGGGTTTGTTGTTTCCGACTCACCCTGGTTCTCATCGCCGTGTCCCGCGCTGCTCTGCACCGGCATCAGAGCCTGATGGATGGCGCTCTCCCAGGCCGGCCCGTCCTCTCCGGCCACCACGCAGTACACCAGCGAGGCAGTCACTACCTCCAAGGTGTGGGCGCTGTTGCCTGGCAACAAGGGCACGGTGAGCTGGGCGGGGCCTCGGACCTGCAGCACCTCAGACAGAGTGATCTCCTGCAGGACGGACGTTAAATAGTGATGTCATTTTTTTCTGTCATCCTTAATGTTCACATGTGGTCTCTGTAAACATGTTAGTTTATAAACAAATAAAAAATAAACATAATATTTTTTTTCTTGCCCTTTTTAAAATCATATCAGATTCAATATCTACTGAAACATAATTCCTCCAGTATGCTGCTCACAGTAAGACTGCTGTTGTTATTTCTGGCTAACCTGCTGCTAACTTGCTCTATGTCCTTTCCTGTTGCTAGGCAGCCAACTCTGCAGAGGTATTTATGAAACATCTATGTTATTAACAGCATGGTTAACTCTCTGTCACATGACCTGTGTGTTAGTGTACATGACCACACATAATGACTGTTGTGTTTTATGTATGTATGTTTACTTTCTATTGCTGCTCTGCATGTCTGAATGTGATGCTAATCTGTGCGCTGGTGCTAACATGCTGTTTGTTGCTTTGCATGGCTTCTGTTCTACCTGGACAGTTTCTAATTGCTGAAGTTAAGCTGTCTTTATGCTGTCTTTGTCCCCTGTGAATTTGATCCTTTTATTGGTTTCAAATTATCTTGCCAAAGGGCTGCAGTTGAAAATTAGTGTTTGGTCATAAACTCTACCTTGTAGTACTTGGTGCTGCTCTCATTCTGGTACAGAGTGATGCTCCTCCAGTCCAGGATCCAGTAATGACGCTTCCTCTGGGAAAACAAACGACACAAATAATTCATAAACTGCGGTATGTACGTAGGGTGCTAATGGCTCTGAACAAGTTCATCCCAAAGACACATTAATAAGATGTCTACAGGTATCAGACACATATATTTAATGCATTTTAAGACCTTTTCAAGATATATTTTTACCAAATTTAACCCTTTGAAACCTGAGCAAAGCTGCCTTTATTTCTTTTAAAGACGTGGGAAGATGGCAATGAAATTCGTAGAATAGTTATTAAAAAAAAAAAGAGTGAAGAAATTAGTAAAAAGAAAAACAAGAAAATTTACTAAAAAAGAAGGAAAATTTTAAAAAAGAGATTTAAAAAAAAAAAAAGAAAAAAGTTAAAAACAAAGAAAAACAAAAAATGACCTGGAAAGAGTGCCTCAAAATTGTAATAATTCCGTAACACAATTATAAGTGTAACAACAACAACAACAACACAGTTTTTCCTAGCTTTTTTCTTTTTCCCTATTTTTTAAAAGTAATTTTTATTCATAATTTTTTAATAATGATAATTTTCTCAATTCATTATTTTTTGCAAGTTGCTCATTGCTTTTTTTCCCATGTTTTGACAGAAATTGCACCCAGTAGCTCAGGGTTCAAAGGTTTAATTACCTGCAAAAGGCGTCTGAAAGCAGCACAAGAAAAGTGATGCCACTCCAGGTTTTAAAGGGTTGAGACAAATCATTGTTTTCTTATTCACACAGTGCAGGTAGGTATGAAGGTAAGCAGTATATATATATATATATATATATACAGTACAGGCCAAAAGTTTGGACACACCTTCTCATTCAATGCATTTTCTTTATTTTCATGACTATTTACATTGTAGATTCTCACTGAAGGCATCAAAACTATGAATGAACACATGTGGAGTTATGTACTTAACAAAAAAAGGTGAAATAACTGAAAACATGTTTTATATTCTAGTTTCTTCAAAATAGCCACCCTTTGCTCTGATTACTGCTTTGCACACTCTTGGCATTCTCTCCATGAGCTTCAAGAGGTAGTCACCTGAAATGGTTTTCCAACAGTCTTGAAGGAGTTCCCAGAGGTGTTTAGCACTTGTTGGCCCCTTTGCCTTCACTCTGCGGTCCAGCTCACCCCAAACCATCTTGATTGGGTTCAGGTCCGGTGACTGTGGAGGCCAGGTCATCTGCCGCAGCACTCCATCACTCTCCTTCTTGGTCAAATAGCCCTTACACAGCCTGGAGGTGTGTTTGGGGTCATTGTCCTGTTGAAAAATAAATGATCGTCCAACTAAACGCAAACCGGATGGGATGGCATGTCGCTGCAGGATGCTGTGGTAGCCATGCTGGTTCAGTGTGCCTTCAATTTTGAATAAATTCCCAACAGTGTCACCAGCAAAACACCCCCACACCATCACACCTCCTCCTCCATGCTTCACAGTGGGAACCAGGCATGTGGAATCCATCCGTTCACCTTTTCTGCGTCTCACAAAGACACGGCGGTTGGAACCAAAGATCTCAAATTTGGGCTCATCAGACCAATGAAGGCCTGATTGGCGCAGTCTCCTCTTAACAGTTGTTCTAGAGATGGGTCTGCTGCTAGAACTCTGTGTGGCATTCATCTGGTCTCTGATCTGAGCTGCTGTTAACTTGCCATTTCTGAGGCTGGTGACTCGGATGAACTTATCCTCAGAAGCAGAGGTGACTCTTGGTCTTCCTTTCCTGGGTCGGTCCTCATGTGTGCCAGTTTCGTTGTAGGGCTTGATGGTTTTTGCGACTCCACTTGGGGACACATTTAAAGTTTTTGCAATTTTCCGGACTGACTGACCTTCATTTCTTAAAGTAATGATGGCCACTCGTTTTTCTTTAGTTAGCTGATTGGTTCTTGTCATAATATGAATTTTAACAGTTGTCCAATAGGGCTGTCGGCTGTGTATTAACCTGACTTCTGCACAACACAACTGATGGTCCCAACCCCATTGATAAAGCAAGAAATTCCACTAATTAACCCTGATAAGGCACACCTGTGAAGTGGAAACCATTTCAGGTGACTACCTCTTGAAGCTCATGGAGAGAATGCCAAGAGTGTGCAAAGCAGTAATCAGAGCAAAGGGTGGCTATTTTGAAGAAACTAGAATATAAAATATGTTTTCAGTTATTTCCCCTTTTTTTGTTAAGTACATAACTCCACATGTGTTCATTCATAGTTTTGATGCCTTCAGTGAGAATCTACAATGTAAATAGTCATGAAAATAAAGAAAACGCATTGAATGAGAAGGTGTGTCCAAACTTTTGGCCTGTACTGTATATGTGGTCTGGTGCAGAGGCAGGCTTTACATAGGAATATGGTTATCACATGACATATGAAATTAAATAACAAACACAGAAGGTCTCACAGCACGACATGGGCAAGTGTTACACCTCTGATATCTTACCCACGACACGGATGATAACCAAATTAAAAGCCAGAGAAAAAGTCGACAGCACAAATGTTAAGTAAGTGTAGTCTGTGTTTGTGTGTCTCACCAGTGTGTCAGTGTTGGTGTGATGCAGCAGCCATCCCTCTCTCAGGACTCCACCTGCCCTCCTCTTGGAGTGATGCACCGACTGGACGAGCCTCATCAGAGGGATGTAGCTGCTGAAACACGGACTGAAGGACAGATGGAGGATGGAAGACATGAGACAGAAGAGAAACAGGCTGATTTAGGGACCAAACTAAAGTCACTTTTCTCTGAACTGATAGAACCGTTTTGTCCTGCAGTGTCTTCTAAATGCCTCTAGGTGGCAGTGCGGCGCAAAGCTCAAAGTTTGTGATGCAGATGAATTCAGTGATGATAAAGAACAGATGAGTGTTTTAGTTTAGTGTGTAGGAGTAAAATTCAAACGGCTGACATCATCAGGACATTGTCTTGTGCCAACAGAGTCACCTTAGAGATGGGATGACATCATCGGAATAATTAACAGCCCTCTGACCTCATCGGCTCTCTCTGTGGCGCTTCTTCCTTTGTCTCGGCCGTCTGGTCTCCATCAGTGGACATCTCATCATCTGAGATCTCTAGTGTTGTTGTGCTGGTGCAGTCTGAATCATTATGGTCTGGGTCTGCTGGGCTGCCGTGACCCACTGCTGGGGATTCTGGGAAAGTGACATCATGGGCAAAAGACATGAGGGCTGCGAGTAATGATTATATCCCCACGTAACGTTTAAGTGAGCTGTTTAATTTTCTAAAGGACAAAAAAGAGGGAAAAATGCCCAAGTGAGGTGTTTGACCAACAATCCAAAACCTGAATTAACAAAAAAAAAAAAAAAAAAAAAAGAGAGAGCAAATCTACACATACAAGAAATTTAAACAACCAAAATAAATCACTTAAAAACTACTGATTAATCTATTAAATTAAATTAAATTAAATTGAATCAAAATAAATTAAAAATCAAAATAAAATAAATGGTAAATTAAATTTAATTTATTCATTCATTCAATTTGAATCTAATTTAATAATTGATTAGGGGTTTTTTGTCCAGTAGAAACCAAAGTAGATAAAATCCAAAAAATACGATAAAAGAATTATAATTTAAATGACAACAACAAATACCATCACTTAAAACTGGGGTAGGCAGTTTAATTTTGCCGTCATTGGGCAAAAAAATTCCATAACAGACTTTGAGCATATTGTAATTCAGGTGGACTGAAAGAAAACTAGACTTCTGCACCTCCCCATGGCTCTGGTTTCAGGCTTTAGAAAATCTAAGTCATAACAACAGGAGACTTTGGCCAATCACAGGTCATTTTAAAGAGAGTACATTCCTATTGGCTGTTCTACAAATGCAGATGCATGTGCATGTCCTTTCGGGTAAACCCTGATTTAATGGCGGATAATTCTGCAGAGAAAGTTGCTATCCAAGTGTTGGCAACAACTGCCTACACTACAGAGCAACCCAAAAAAGGAAGACGGACGTATCAAACAGCAAGTCTAAAAGAGAGTCGGACCATAAACAATGTAAAACATATATCAATATCAGCAAAGCATTTCAGAGATGGAGACAAAATGTTGCTAATAGTTAGCTTTCTGCTAACTGAAGCCAAAGGCTCACGGCTGCAGCTTAAAGTTAATATTTATGTAGCGAACGTTAGCGAGAGCCTTAATTAACAGTGTGACATCCGCCTTAATCCCCCTCTGCTACAGACCACCTCACCGGGAGGAGAGTGGGCAGTGGGGTTTGCACTGGCAGAATTCAAGCCACCATAGCAACAGACCATAACTCACTCTATAGAGCTGCTGCCTGCTCTCCTCACGGTGAAGCAGTCCACAGACGCGGGGAGTGAGGCGGAGAGCCCGTGGGGTGGCTAGCTCGCTCATTTCTGTCTCATTTGTGTTGTGATGAACAGAGCGGGACAATGAGAGGCTGAGTGAAAGAGCTGCGTGCAACTCTACAATGAAATAAGAGTAAATAAATCAATGTATGGGAAACACTGGGTTACTGTGTGAAGTGCATGCATATGTCTGTGGTCTCCTGGTGGGAGGTGCTGTAGATTGCGTTTTGTGATCTTATTTTGTGAACATGTTTTGTTAGTTTACAGTCATACGAGTGACTAACATGCTCACAATGGCATCATGCTGATGTTTAGCAGGTATAATGTTTGTCATGTTAAATCCAACCCTGAATCATCATCACTGCTGGGACCAACATGATGTTTCTGGGAATCTAAAACGAGTCCCGAATCTATCAAAATTCATCTTGAGATGGAGGGTGAATCAGCTTTGAGTCATCGCAGGGTTATGAGAACATCAGAGCAGGGGCCTTTTCAAAGGAGCCATCATCTAAGAGGAGTTAAAAGCTCAGAGTATGAAATAGAAAGCAGACCTGCAGGGACTGAGTGCTCACCTTCACCGTTGATGCCTTTCCTCTCTCCTGGACAGTCTCTGGGGACCAGCAGCTCACAGCGCCGGTGGCAGTTAAACCTGCAGTCTGAAAAATGATCAGAGAGGAGAGGTGGCAGGTTAAAAACTGAGAGAAAGGAGGATAAGTGCATGAGAAAAATACAAAATAATAGTGTTAATAAAGTGTGATTCAAATTTAGTTTTTACGTCAGACTGAGCTCTGAGACGAACCCAGACATTTAGAGGAAATTAGCACAGACACAGTTCAATCTTTTTAAACAAGTGTGTGGGATACACAAGCTCCTGCTTACACAACAAACACACACTGGTCTTTTTGGACCCGGTTTATATTTCTGAACCTCTAATCCTCAAACGGCTCATCAGAGCTGAGGTGCTGCTGGAACAGAGCATCTAAAAATGGCCACAGCGGAGGAACATGCTTTAATATATTACGTGAGTCATCGCTGCAAAAAAGAAAAGAAGGCTACAAAAACGAAAGAAATTAAAAAGCTGAAGAAGATTTTTAAATTTATTTAACCTTAAAGATACTCCATGCAGGATTTAAAATTTAAAAAAAAAATACGACTCATGTAAAAGTAATCCCTCTCAAATATTACTTGTGACCTACAAGAAGGGCGTGTCGCTGTATTTAGCTGCCAAGACTCTGCCCTCTGCCTGTGCTTTCTTATTTTCTATTAGGACATTTATAAGAGACACAGCACCGAAAAACGCAAATATAGCGAGATGAAACGCCAAACAAGAGTAAATCAAGCGTGTTTAAAAACAGAAACTGACAATCTTGCATAGTATACCTTTAACCAGGGGAGGCTCCACTAAGAATAAACATCTAATAACTCATCTATTTCTTTTAAGGAAGGTTTCGAGGTGAAGAATATTTTTGGGTGAAAGTTATTTCTTGGTGTGAAAATAGTTTGACAGAAAAAAGTTAATGACAAGGTCCATCCTCTTTCTTAGCTTTTTTTAAATGCTCGATTGTGATTTAAATTAAAGGTAATCTCTGTAACAAACTCCATCCACTGAAGAAGACCGTGATGTGGTTGAAAGCTCCAGAAAAAGCTAGAAGAGGACCTTAAGATTTATTCATTTTTGTCGATAAATAAAAATATTCTTTGTGTTGCTGATGCAGCAGTTCATTTGTTTACCCAGGAAACCGCTTCTTCGTGGGTTGTTGCTAATTTAGCTCTATTTTTCATCAAAGTGTGATATAATAATGCAATAAATGTCAGACCAATATTAGATTTTGAGGTCGATATCGAAATGTGAGAGTTAAAAATAAATAGTCTGTCATTTTGGGAAATGCGCTTATTTGCTTTTTTTTTTTTTGCTTTTTTTTGGGCAAGAATGAGATGAGAGGATGTTCCTGCAACGAGCCAAGAAACAGTCCAACTACAACTTGTTGTTTTCACAGTGGGATTTCAAAAACATGAGACATATTGTGTCATTAGGTGCTGCCAAAAATATCAGTTGATTGATACATAGATTCTTATTCTTTATGCCAATTCCAACACAGTGGAAGACCCCACCACTGTGTCAATGGGAATGTGAGCTGCTGTCCCTGTCCTGCTATGGATCACTACTTCCCATGTTCGGGAGGAGTGACAATCAGGCCGTCTTGTCAGGTCGGGATGTGATAGAATGATAGAAAACGACTGAATATTTGAAACAGTTCCTGCTCGTTTTCCTCAGTATTGATACTATTGATTCTACTTTGTCACTCTCTCTTCTCCTTGACAGCGAGTTGACACACACATCACAGCCTTGGGCTTTATTGCAATTTGAATGTGTGACAATCTCAAGAGGCTTAAAAATGTGCCGCAAGAAGAACATTGTTTTCATTCAAGTAAAAAAGGTTAATTATTGTTAACGTTTACTTCAGTCCTAACCAAGAAGAGAGAAGTTGGCGTCGTCATATTATAGCAATGTTACATTTATCTTTTAATAAAAAATGGAAAAGTAATGCCCTGAATGTCATTTTTTCCATGTAGTATCAAATATAGATATTTTTCAAGGTATTGTGTTAAAGTTAAACACTCGCTGGTAGGTGGATTGTTTCGATTTTGGATAGAGCCAAGCTAACACTTTCCCCTCCTTCCAGTCTTTATAATAAGCTAAGCTAACCAGCTGCTGGTGCTAGCTGCATATTAGCATACAGACACACAGAGAGGTATCACAGTGTAATCCCCATAGTATTCAACTATTCTTTTAAATAATCTGTTCACATTTGCTGAGCAGGAACATCGATGCTGTGGTGTAACTACAACAGGCTTCATCAATTCTGGACATACAACCTACTTGATGTAGTGTCTAATCCTACTCCAAAGAATGTCTATGAAACTTGTTCTCATTCATGCAGGGCACGACTAAATGAATGACCCACTGAAATGAAACTTAGATTTAAAGACCTTTTGCCGCTCATCTAAGAGGCCTTTTTAGTCGTAGTGTAAAAAAAATGGTAACAATAATGTGAAGCCTGAAGCATTAGAGCATACATTTCTGTTTTAGTTGTTGAAACTCAAACACCATCGAACCAGAGCAGAATTAAACCCTCCAGCTGTCTCACCTGAGCACTGCAGCCCCTGTCTGAAGAGCCCTTTGAGCAGCCGGTGGCAGTACTGGCAGACGGTGGGTTTGGTGTAGCTGTGGATGTGGAAGGTGTGAGGGACCTGAGCCGTGCTGGTGTCGCCGTACCCAACTGCCAGCCAGACCGGGGGCTCAGTCCAGGACGGAGGCCTGGAGGAGGGCTTGGACATGCTGATCTGGTGAGGGAAAGACAGTGAGAGTCATCAGTCATGTGTAAATATGTGATCAGAGGTTCATTTGTTGGATGGTAAGCCCTTAAAAAACTGTTTCCAGTCACTCAGTGCAGACGAGAATATAACCTAGAGGTCTTTTTATTGAGCAGTTGACTGAAATATTGCGGTTACGTCCTTACCTCTTCCAGACTGCCTCCTGCCTGATTGGACAGAGAGTGTGTACGTGGTCGTCGAGGAGGAAACAACGAGAGGCTGGTGCTGACCTGACGCCGCGCTCGACTGCAGTTATTGGGCAACAGGAAAGCACAACGTTTATGAAAGTCTAATCCACACCCTGAAGATAGAAAGAGACAAACTAGAGTCACATCCACGACACTGCAAATGTCACATAGGATGCTGGCAAACAAAACATTATCTCACACTTCAAACACATTTAACAGCTGGATGATGACACTACTGAGCGGCTTTACCGTCACACTTTAATCCCTGTCGAACGAGGCCCCAAAGCATTTCTCCGCAGTGGTGGCAGAAGGTGGGAGTCCGGTATGACTGCACCACCAGGGTGTGGGGACGGATCCTCATCTCAGTCACCGACGCTGATCCTGAGTCAGATTCAAATAAAGACATTGTATACAGTCAGTGCTACTGAGAAATATCATGTGTTATAGCTAGGACGAAATCCTTCCCTGAATATTTCTGACAGTATTTGATACCAGTGCGTGCAACAGGTGAACACTGTATTTCAAATGTTTTCACCACTTAACATTATACAACAACTTATCAAGGCAGCAGCAGACCAGCAACTCTCTGTTCTGCTAAGTAAAATTACTGTTTGTCAGTGGAGTCTGGCGGCTTTGAGATAACAGCTTCAGTTCCCTGCTGTAAAGAATGTGAAATTATTCCTAATATCGCGTACACTGGAACGCTGAACTGAAGTTTTTAAGTGGGCTCTTTTGTAGGTGGCGAAAAATGAACCGACTGAGGCAGCATTTGCTCAGCCCTGCCTCATTTTCTTTCATTTTCTCCACTTGAAAAATCTGAGAAAAATCAAACATATTAATGTCAGTATTTAGGTGACACATTCACATCGTGTCAAAATATGTGCAGATACTAATCTACAGTGAACAACCTATTCCCTGCTATTTCATTTTTACAAAATGGCAGTGCAAGATGTGAAATGTACTTGAGCTATAAGGTTAAAGTGCCTTGATTTCAAATAAAGCTTGTTGCTTTTCCTGTGGTCTTTATGGGATTCTGTTGTGCAGTATATTTATATTCCATGGCCAAGAACTCAGTGAGAATCTTGCGTAAGGAGGGTAACCTGTCAGATAAAAGCTTCATGGAAGGATTTAGTGGTTTTGTGATGCTTGCTGGCGTAGATAAAATACTGACTCTGTACCTTGCAGATAACCTGACAGCCTGTGTGTATCTGAGCAGTGTGAAATGCTCAACAAGGTGCAGCGAGGGAGCAAAGCAATTCAAAAAATACTGAAAACAAATATTTATGTAATCAGAGACATGACACGGTCTTCTTCAAGTGTTCATGATGAGTTTCCCTCCAAAATGAGACTTGTATTCCTCCTAAATAGTGCTGAGAGCTGCTGGTACAAAACGATGCCTTTTAGAGTTGAGATAATTAGCCTGATAAAGATTCCCCCACACTCATAGCTGTTGACTGACCTGCTATGATGACCTCGATGAGGTCTCCATCCCGCAGCTCGTCGTCGTCTGTCAGGCGGTGCAGCAGCTGCTCTGTGGCGAACTGATGTCTGAACAGCAGAATCTTCTCCCCTGCACCCACCACGGTGCAGTCTGGAGCCTGAACACACACATACACACACAGAGCCACAGGTTGAGTCCTCGTCCAAGAAACTAGATATATTTACTGCCTTTTTAAGTGCTGCGAGAATGCTTTTACTGGGGTGAGACTAATCCACAAATATGTGAAAAAAGAAAATAGCTATCAGGATTGTAAATTAACTTTGTTGTCCATCTGCCACTGTAGCTGGTGGATTCCAAAATCTATGAGACGCTCAACAGATTAGCATTGTTTTTTTGGCAGGTGAGTGAAGTAAATCAAGCAGTCATCTGCATACTTTAGCAGCATTTGGCCAGTTGCTGCTGCCAACTTCCAACCCTGATAGCTCTTTCATCCACATTTTTAACCAAATTTCACATCTCAAACACAAATAAAAACACTTACATAATACTGAGTAACAGTTTTCTAAAGTTAACATTTCCAGGCCAGCTTTGTTAAATAAACAGTCAGAAAAATACTCAGCCAAATCTTGGGAATCAAAACAAAAATTATGTGATTGTCGTTTTGAATCCTGGCTGCAAAAATTTTGGAAACCTGGTGCTTCAAATGTCTATGTCTGAGGACTAAAACACAAAGGTGTCAATTTGTACTTGCTGAGTATGGAGTGTTTAAGTGCTCAGTTAGAAAGCGATAGATTCAGCACAGCCCCGAGAGGGGTTCAACATTTACAGGGACGAAAACAGAAAGAGACTTCTGCAAAGGTCAACTCTGTAAACAATCTTTTTACCATCACAATACATGACCTAGTTGCGCTGTAAAAAGAAATCAGCCGTATGTGCTCGGTAGATAGGAGATCAAAGATGATACAAAACCGCGCCGCAACATGCAGCACAGCTTGGAAATGTATGTACCGCTTCAATTTTTGTCATGAGTTAGGTTTAGCAGTGACTGAAGGAGAAAGAGAATCAGTACTCAACTCAAACAGCAACATAATTAGCTGGATCTGTGTTTTTCTGAATGGATGTCTGTGATTTCATAATTTCTAGATCCTTACAGCATGACTACAGTCACAAGTGTTATCTACTTTTTTACTGTAATTTTAATACTACACAATAAAACGAGGAAAAAGAAGAGAAATAAAATGCAATCTGGCAAAGCAAAGCAAGCTACAGCTCAGAATGTACATTAATCGAACAATTCCTATGTAGTGGTATTTGTCCACTCCTCCTGTGACGTGGTCATTTTTGGTGTTTTTTATGTTTTAACATGAACTAAAGACCCTTAAAAAAAGCTAAAGGCCAGAACTGGAGATACAGGGGTTTTCTCCCAGTGGAGAGACATATATCAGGTATGTGACACGCTCATGCCGTCAGGTTTGTGTACACCAAAATGCACAAGTAAAACACACACACATTCTTCAGACCCCGCTGACCTGCTGCCTGGAAACTCGAGAAAAGATCAAAGTTGAAAGGAGCGCTAGTGTGAGCGAGGCAGACTGTGTGTGTGAGGCAGGAGGAGGGGAGGCTGTGGTCGGAAAGTTTGCTGTGCTCTTGTCGACCACAAAGTCTCTGTAGCTGAGGCAGTGTGAAGACCAGACCAGCTGACACCGAGGCCAACACACCTGCAATTCATGAATGTCTATATTTAACCTCAACGACGGTGCAACAATGCATCAGTTCAATTTTACTCTCACAGTACGATCTGCTTCTTTGTCACCTCACTCGCTTCCGCAAGTTTTTACGAATAGAACATGAGGTTTAGAAATAGGAGGGTGTCAAATGGAGGGTTTGAATATGTTGTATACACACATTTCATTAATAACCGACCAAATCCTGAGCCTGGTTGTGTCATACACTAAAAATAAAATACTAAACTGTTCCAGAGGAGGTTATAAAAGCTCACCTGCTTCAACAGTATAAAACGTCGGTTGAATCAGATGTGTAAGTAAACGGGATACACGTAAGCTAAAACCATACACAACATCCTTCAGACTCTGCATCAGTCAACCCAGACACCACACTTTACATAGTAACCTACACAATCCTCCTTCATACATAAGATGACCTTTCAAAGTCCACTTCCTGTCTGTTCTGAAGGGCTCAAAACATCAACTGAACATTTTCCAAGTGGGACTGTGTTAAGGGTTAGAGCAGACTTTTGCTAACAGACGTGCATGTAAGCATTCAGCTCAGCGCCTGCTACAAACTGAGTGTCCAAGAACAACTCAATCATTTCTCAAAGCAAGATTTGACCTGCAGGTGTGGGATCTGAACCAACCACATTCTGTTCCTAAGTAAAACAGCATTTGAGTTTTAACCAGTACAGTGTTGCTTTAAAATTTTTAAATACCTCAGTACAAAGAGTCTCATGCACAACTGAGTAGCGCACCTGGGCAAGCAAGTGGGTTTGAACTCTGAAATGGACATATTTGGGGAGGACTGAGCATACAAGCGTACGACTGGAAGAACGAGACTTGGATTATACTGCACAAGTTGTGTGAGAGTTTTTATATAGTTTTGCTGCTGTTAAACATGGACCCACTTTACTCCAAGTCATTAAGAATTTTGTTCATTTCAGTCAGGAACACTTCAGTCAAACAAAACTTTATTTGCATTTATTTCCATATGCATTATATTTGGGGGTATGACTCTGTTCTGGGGCCTCTCTTTCTTTCCTTGGGCCTACACAGAGAGCCTCTTCCACACGCCTGGATGAAAAGCCAAAAGGCAGAGAGAGCACACCTGTCTACCCTTCCACACACCTGCGGGAAAGCCAAAAGGCAGAGAGAGCACACCTGTCTGCCCTTCCACACGCCTGCGTGAAAAGCCAAAAGGCAGAGAGAGCACACCTGTCTGCCCTTCCACACGCCAACATGGAAAGCCTAAGGCAGAGAGAGAACAATTGTCTGCCCCTCCATGTGCAAATGAGGAAAGCCTGAGGCAGAGAGGCAAACCTCCCTGCCCTTCCATGTGCCTACATGGAAAGCCTAAGCTGAAATATCCTGACTTTCAGTCTCTAGTGTGAATCAGGCCCCAAAAACGCAGGATCCTACAATTCCCATGATTGGCTGACCCAACCTTCATGGTTTACAAGACACCATTACAATGATGATGCAGTAACAATCAAAAGTACATGTTATTTAACTACTCAGTCCAGAAACTACTCTGCCCTCTATCTCGGTGCTGGCAAAGAAATTCAGCCATAAAAAAGGTTCCCTTTCTGAAACAAAACTCAAATTCTCCATGATTGGCTGCCATTTTCCTTTTTCGGTAGGTGGTGCCCAATGAGGTGATTTCAAATTATAATATTTAATATAATTAATAATTAATCATCATTTCTGATAGTCATTTTAATATGAGCGACTTTTCAACACTATGTAAACTTTCTGTGAAAAATTCTCAGAAAGTCCCAGACCTGGGGCGTCAGTAGCGTAGTGGATAGTGCCGGCGCCCCATGTACAGAGGCGATGCCTCTCTGCAGTGGTCGCAGTTTCGACTCCGGCTTGCAACTCTTTGCTGCTTGTCATCCCCCTCTCTCTCTCTCTCTCCCTTTTTCAATCTGTCCTGTCCATTAAAGGCAAAAAGCCCCAAAAAAATAATCTTTAAAAAAAAGAAAGTCCCACACCTAGATTAGGCCACTACACATCTGTTCACACAGGTTGAGTAGTGCTCCCTAAGACGACTAAACGTCATGAGTAAATTCAGTGAAATGCCCCTTTAAGGCCCCTCTGCTTATGAACCGTCCTGATCTGCTGGGTAATACCCTCAACCTCATGCTTCAGGTGAGCAGCATGAAATGAGGCCACCAGGGTGAGGTTTGGATTACCTTGCGCTCTATGATCTCAGCAGCCAGCCTCTTGGCATGGTGATAGCTCAGGTTGCTGGCGGGGACTCGAACCACCTCCCTGAACAGGCCGAGCTGGAACTGGACCAGAGCCGGCACTGTGTGACTGGTGGGGCTGGAGGGAGTTGCTGCGAACATGGAGAAAGATCCTGTGGAGGGAGGGGATTAGTTTGTGGATTATTACAGGAACAAAGGAAGGTGACAGATTTTATTTTGAGGGTTTTGGATAAAAATAGACAAAAGCAGCTGAGGTTTAGTGAATATTAAGTTGATATTCTTTTCCAAAACAACTCCTGATGTCTCAAAATTAAGCACATTATAGGCTACTACACATTTTATTAGAGATTTGCTTTAAAGATGAACTTTCAGGAGTCAAAATTCTAGATTAAACTTTGTTTTAGTGTCACGTTCATTGTCTAAAACAGCTGTCTACCAGCTGCTGTATCTATTTTTATAAACAGAATCAACATCAGTGACACATTTTAGATAGCTAATACCTTTTGTCTCTGAAAACTATTGTTAAACACTGATTAACAAAAGTATTATATTTACTTATACTTACATACATACCCCTTTTTATACTCTAACAATAACCTGAATATTAAACATTAATAGTCCCACTGACTGCCGCAGTGCTCACCATTAATAAGCAATAAAATTAAACATTCAAGACACTACAACAGATCAATCTGAATAAAACACACAAGACACAACAGCAAACCAAATAAAAACCAGTATTAAAAATGAAAGATCACCAATCTGAATGTGAGCAACCTTACTTTCTAGTCCCGGTTCATTCAAGTTCCGATCTTTCACCTCAGTCGCAGGATTTTATCTCAATGATGCGACAGCTGATCTTTCATTGTGCTGCACATTCTCAACACGCACTCTGGTGGGTCTGGTTTCCTCCTGTGGGGCTCGGCTGTCGAAGTTACAGGAAGTTACAGAGAGAGACTAACCTCTGCGAGAGCTGAGATGGTGCGGCGTACGGAGCCCCAACGTTGTGAAAACTCACACACACACACACACACACACACGCTTTGAAATGGTCCAAGTCATCTTGGCAGTTTCGGGGATGAAAATGTACGAGACACAGAATCAGTTTGAAAAGTGGAGTTTGTATTTATTGAACCTTTGATAAAATACACATGAGGTTGGCCCCTTCACAATAAGATCCATCAAATCATCAGCAGTACAGGAGCTGGAGTTAAGAGTTCCCACACACATATATATATGACCCTCGTTCCCACAACATTCACCACCCGTGGCTCCATAAATATTTGGACATCTGATTCATCTTTGACGCTGTGAATCAAAATCTTCCTGCAACAGAGATTCAGAACAAACATTTACAGGTTTTATTTCTCTCAGCTGTTTTATTAAGCAACATTCATGTTCATGTTTACGGAGGTTAGGATTAATACAGAGTCAGAAGACACTGGACCAACCCAGAGGTGACTAAGTGATTAATACAGTAAAGGATTGCTTGTATTGATATTACAGTATGATGTGTAGACGAACTCACAGTCAGGACACCTTAAACTACAAATCAGTGTTGCATTAACGTCTGTACACAGCTACATGGTGTTGAGAGTGTGTGCGATTAAAGGAATACCCATCGTTTATGTGAACATACAGTAAACATACATATAAAGGATTATTCTGTACATTATTTGCTGCGAACGACACTTAAAGCACTTTTCCACCTGTGACATCTTCCCAACACTGACTCCATCCTGCGTTTACACTTACTTCAGTCCTTCTTTGCCTTCGTGCGTGTATTTCTTCATCTTAAACTTGCACCACCTCACACATTCAGCACAATCAGAAGCTGATAGAATAGTTAGCACGTTTTTTTTTAGACTCGGCAGTGTGACTTCATCGAAGGGGATTTCAAGAAGGGCGACGTCAGGTTATTGAGGCATATGGCGACGGTGTGCATGCACCGCCGTGGACAAAATGCCTTCGCAACAAACCTGCATCTTCCAGCTTTTGAAATCAAACTCAAATTGTCAAGATTTGACCTTTTTTGGCTTTTTGTGCTAGAAAATTTAAGAGCAAGGTGGAGAAAAACTTGCAGATAAAGCCAAAAAAAGCAACTCCTTGACAATCTGATGAGGAGCACAACTTGCCGAGACTGATATCGACGTGTACATTCTGAGGACAGTTCTCTTGGTATTGGTCTTGTTTTAGTGGAAAACAGCACAACACAAAAATCCAGTGTAAATGCCACCAGACCCCACAATCAACGTAAAAATCGAACATTCAAATAATCACTTTTCAGTACCTCCAACATAAAAGCTCAGGTCCAAAACAGGAAAACGCAACAAAGTTCACTGAGGACTGATGGCCAACAGTCAGATTTCTGAGAGTGTTTGATTACGACTGATGAAGTCCGTCCCGTCACTGAGGATTGTTTCGTACAAAATGATACATATTATTCAGCAACAGAAAGAGGGAAACACAAAATAATTCACAAGAGGAATCCCAAAGTAAACATTTCAGTTGATGTACTTCACCAGCTTTAAACGCAGATACTTAAATGAGGGTTGTTTATGCCTTGAATATCCTGCTTTAATGATTGTAAACAAATTATATTTAAATATCTCTTTCACAGCGTTTTATTTCATTATCACTCAGACTTATGGCTGTAAGTCTGGAAATCCAAAGTTTTTCGTGGCAGAATGAGGTAAAAGTACCTGAAAGCAAAGATTATAGTGTTTAATTAAACTTCCTGTCGTGCCACATACAGTAGGTAGTATTTAGGAGGGTTTAAAGACCCAGTGAAATGAAAATTACATTTTTAAATCCTGTGTCCCTGTGTTGTTATATGATAAACACATGTCAAAAAAACAAGTATTTTAAATGAAATCCCTGTCTTTTCTGTTTTTGTAAAACCAGTTAAAACCGAACATTTGATGACTCATCCTGTACTCAGGGGTGTTCACGTCACAAAAATTCATCCAATCACATGAGTTTATAGTAGCTGACAGAACAAAACGGTGGGCAAAACTTTTGTTTTAATTTCCGAAACTATATTTTGGAGGTCAAATTTATTCATCCCTACCTCATCCGCCTCATGATCTAATGGTGGGGGAGGAGGCGTGTTGCGAAAACAGTGGTCTGCACAATTACCATGCCTGTGTGCACCTGTGGTGTGCCAAGTAGGCGGAGTCTGACCACCGTTTGACAGCTATGAGAGCCGGCAGATACGCTGAAATTTCAGTCGCAAGAGTGGCGTTTACGTCACCATGACCACATGGTTCATAAAAACACAAACAAGTCAAGGGAGATTGATTAGCGGTCCAATCAGGTGCAAAGGATTTGATTTAAATCTTTCTTGTAACTGTGTGCCGCTTTAATATTCTGTTGTCACAGTACAGAAGCTTAAGTTGACGTTTCACTGGGACTTTTGAGGAATTGATTGAGGTTCATTTTTAAATTTACTTTCGAATAAACTTTCTGATAACTTTTCATTTCGGATGCTCACAAGACTGATTGTTGTGGCACCGAAAAAAATAATTTTAAGCCTGACCAGTAGAAGCCTCAGTGGAAGCTACCATGTACAGGACTGTCACGCTCAAAGTGCATTCCAACAGTTTAGACTGAAACGTCAGCAGATTTCAGAGACTGAGGTACTAAATTTATCAGCATTTTTGACCTTCATTGACATCATGAGCCAAGCGCCCATTTCTCTCTTCCTTCCTTCTTTCACTCCCTCTTTCTTTTCCAGTCTTTCCCCCTCCGATAACTATTTTCTCAGCTGAGACCCTCTGTAACCCAATAGTGTAAACAACAAAGAAAAATAACAGAAACCAAAGTGCACTATATACAAAGAATGAAATAATTTAAAACTGTATATACATAAAAAAAACAAGAAGGCAAAAGTGAGGTTTAAATGGTTAGTGCTAATGTGTTTTTTGAAAATCCCCAAAGATTGCTTGTATTCTCGTCAGTGTTCCCTGTTAAAATCTAAGTGGATCGTACCATTTTTTACCATCTGTGATATGCATTCGATGGGCGGTTAGCATCAGCAAATAGTTCATGCTACTGGTGAAATATACAGAGTGCAATGCTTGTCTCTGAACTGAAACCGGAGTACATTTAGCCTACCTAAGGTTGAGTGTCTGCACATGGAGATCGAAGACAAGGTCTCGGATACGATGCTTTGCTACGGTGCTATGAGTCACAAACACGAGGCGTTCAGGTGCAGACATTCCACGTTCTAGTAAGCAGCATGCTGATTAATGTGTATCTAAATATTCTCTTTAGTGATCGATGGCGGCGGTTTGTACAGCGAAGCAGCAGCAGCGACCTGACGTTTAGTGTGATAATGCTTTTTTTCTTTTTCAGTGTTCTTTAAAAAATATGCTGCAGGTGCAAGTGTTTGATCTCGCTTTGAGCTTTTAGTGTGTTTGTTTGATCAAACCAAGCTGCAAACAGCCTCTCCTCGCCGGGCCGCTCTGTGACTCCTGAGTCCCACCCCATGGCTCTGTCTAGCCAATCAGGGAGCTGCGTCTGGATAGGTCCACGTTGCTGGCGCTTAGTCCCCTGCAGTCTGAGAGTCCAGAGTTGGCGTCCTGAAAACAGACCAGTCAGTATTAAAACTCCTAATGGACAATATATTGTGGTCGAAGAACGTCTATGTGTTTTTACTGGGTCAGCAATAATAATTCACTGCATTATCCCAAAACAGATATTCCCATGTAGTTATTTCATCTGCAAAAGTTTCTACAACATTTTTTGGTCGTACCTGTGTGGTCTCCTCAGCGCTCTTGTTCAGGAAGTTGAGGGAGCTTGCTCTCTTCATTCTGAGCAAAACAGTACAGTCAAACAGTGAGCCTTAACCATTAAAAACTCATCAACAACATAATTATTATATTTCCATGATTTGTCTTTGTTTTCAGGTAAAAACAACCAGTGTTTTTGAAGATTGGTCCAATCATATCTTAACGATGTGATTTAAAATTTCCTGTTGTAACCATTAGGGCTGCAACGATTAGTCGACTAATCGATGACTAATCGACTATTAAAATAATCAGTGACTATTTTAGTAGTCGACTAATGGGTTTGAGTCATTTTTCGTAGAAAAGTACTATAAAAGTGCCCAAAATACTCTTATTGCAGCTTCTTATGCTCAAATATTGGCAGCTTTACACACTCTCCCATGACGGTGAGCTAAAACACTTTGGCGTGAGTACGAAAGAAGACATTAGATGTAGGGATGCACCAAAATGAAAATTTGTGGCCGAAGTCGAAGCCGAATAATATTAAACGCTTGGCTGAATACCGAATATCATTGTTTAGTTTTTCATTAGTTTTTGCAGATGAGCCCCCTCCAGATTAGTGTTGTCACGGTACCAAAATTGGGACCCACTGTGCGATACCAATGAAAATACCATGGTTCTGAGTAGTATCATGATACCACAGCGAAAATGAGGCAGATGTGCCTTTTGTCATTTATGAAAAGATAAATCACTTTTCTATTATAGGCTACATCAATGATATTTCAATGGAATAAATTACTTACTGACTTATTCATACTTCAAAAACAGCATCAATAACTGGTTAACATAGGGGGGATCAAAATAAAATAAATAAATAAAATAAGCCACCCTCCTCCCCTGACAGTCCCTTCATAAGTAATGAACAGTCCCTAAAGTGCGGTGAGGTCTGTGGACCGTTACTGCCAGAAAGAGAGAAATGTGAAAGGCTCGTTTCTCCTCTGACACGTCACATACCTGTGTTCGGCTGGCTCAGCTGTTCAGGTACTTCTGGGCAGTCATGACGCCAAGAAGAGGATATTATTGGAGCCGACTTCTCCGTCGCCTGGTAAGCCGATGGCCGCCGTATTTGACAGGAATACATTAACGTTACTGTCTGTGTCTGTGACCCCCTTTCAACCTACAATTGGTGGGATTCGCCTTTCGTTTCTGCTGCTGGTTGAAATCTGTAGGCTGCTCGCACAGCGTGCTGTATGATTTATTTTGCTCGCTCAAAACTATTTTAGTCGCAAATGCGAGTGCCGTGACGGACGGATCGCCACACTACCGACATTTT